AATGGTTCTCAGTCGGGATCAGAGATAGTCTACATACGGCTTTTTATTTTTACTTGGTATTTTTGTAATTTTAAAGTGTATAAACAATATGACTGCTACTTATAGTATCACTAAACATAAATATAAGAAGCAGAAAGTCTATAAATGTGAAGTGTACTTCTTACAAAGGAAAGTGTTTTTTTTCATTCCTAGTATGTTTGGACCTAATTTTTCTTTTCTCTTCTCTTTTCTTTTCTTTCTTTCTTCTTTCTTTCTGAGAGGGAAGAAGGGGGGAGAGAGAGAAAAATTGATGTGGGAGAGACACATTGATTAGTTACCTCCTGCAGGTGCCCCAAGCAGGGACCAAACCTAGGCATGTGCCCTGACCAGGAGTTGAACTCATGACTATCTGGGACAATGTTCCAACCAACTGAGCACCACTGGCCAGGGTCGACCTATATTTTTGACAGAACAATTGGATGCTCCTGATATGAAAACTAATCCAGTCCATCTTCCTCACTTTAATGTGGTTATATTTATCCATTTTTCCTTTATGATTTGTTCTCCCATTTCACCAATGCAGAAACTGAGACTCAGACAGGGGAAATGACTTCCCGACTTGCTGCCAGTTAGGAGACACAGCTAAGACTCTCTCTCACTCTCACCCACCTCTCCACCCTCTACTTTCTCAACTCACTCAACTATCCCCTCCTCCCCAGCCAAGGCAGGCTATAGTGAGGCTTCCTGATTATGTGTGTGTATGCATGTGTAAACCCAATTTCTCTTTTAAAAGACGTCTGTCTGACATACAAATAAAAAAGTGCAAAGGTCATAAGTATTCACAGGGAACACACTCATGTAGCCTGAATTCAGATAAGAAACAAAATGTTAGCAGCACCCCAGAGAACCCCTTCTTAATCCTTTCTAATCACCCAGGCTGAACACAGCCCTGATTCCTAACGCCGCAGGTTAGCCTGTTTTGGAGCTTTATATACATGAAATCATACAGCATATACACTTCCATGGCAGGCTCATTTTGCTCAACACATTGTCAGTGAGATTCATCCCTATGGTTGTGTTTGGCTGTAGAGTGTTCACTCTCATTGTTGTATTAATATTCTGTAGTGTGACTGTACTGAAATGTATTTATCCACTCACCTGCTAATAGACCTTTGGGTTGTTTCCAGTATTGAGCTAATAAGAATAATGCTGCTGTGAATAGTCTTGTACATGTGTTTTGGTGCACATACATATGCATTTCTGTGGAATTGCTGGGTCAGAAGGTGTGTGGACATTCAGCTCTAGCAGATACTAATAGTTTTCCAAAGTGATTGTGCCGAGTTACACTGGCAGTGGCCGTGGAAGAGGTTCTGCTCGCTCCCCATCCCCACGAGTGATTGCTAACCCTTTTAATTTAAGGAGGTAGGTGATTGTGGGGCAGGTTGGCATCAGGTTGTCTGTGTTTGAATCTCAGTACTTGTCTTACCTTGAGACTTTCAGCAAAGCCAGTTTCCTTGTCTACAAAATGGGTTGAAAATCATGGGGCTGTTATGAAGATTCCATAGACCAGTTATGTTAGGCTCCATAAGCATTAACTATTTAGAGTTCATTCTCACAACAACCCACTGGATTCACCTCTCAGAGCCTTGGTTTCTCCTTCTGTAAAATGGTGATAAAAATACTAATACCCACATACATATACAGTTGAGAGGATTACCAACCAATGTAATTGTGTATTAAATTTTTTATTTTTTTTACTGAGATATAATACACATGTCATAAAATTAACCCCTTTTCAGTCATTCTGAGTATATTCACAAAGTTGTGCAACCATCACTACTATCTAATTCCACAACATTTTCATCACCCTAAAAGAAACCCCACACCCATTAGCAGTCACTTCCCATTTCTCCACACCCAACAGCTCCCAAACTCCAGAACTGCTAATCTACTTTCTATCTCTATGGTTATTAAAAGTTCTGAATCTTTGCTTTTCTATATTTTTTAACTTTTGCAAAAGTAAAATACCTTGTACTGGGACAGGCACGTAATATGCACTTAATAAATGTTATCTGTGTGTGTGTATGGGTAGAGCAACCTAGTACATAGATATAATATAAACTCATTCAACAAATACTCGTTTGTACATTTGCACTTGAGAGGAAAGGGTCTATAGAGAAATCGATGGGGTTTTCGGGTTTTCGCTTTCAGGGAACTCGCCATCTAGTGGGGAAGAGCTGTGTGTGCACCACTCTTCGTGAAAGCAGAGGGGAATGAAATTCAGTTGTATTTTTGAACAAGGGGTTGTGGGAACCTGGGGAAGGTGTGGGAAGTGGAGGAGGCATATCTAGGATGGGTGAGCTTTCCTGACATGAAGATGCAGTCTGGGGGGGCAAATCCTGAGAACTAAGACTGGGAGCTCAGTTGGTTGGAGTGTCGTCTGGTACACCAAATGGTTGCAGGTTCAATTCCTGATCAGGGCACATACTGAGGTTGTGGGTCCCCGCTCAGGGTGCGTGTGGGAGGCAACTGACTGATGTTTCTCTCTCCTTCCCTCTCTCTCTAAAATCAATTAAAACAAAAACAAAAACATATCCTTGGGTGAGGATTAAAAAAATAAAAATTAAAAAAGACTAGGAGACAGGCAGGGTATAGTGTCAGGCTGGATCACTGAGACAAACAGATTTTCACACCCTAGTCAGGACCTTTTCCTGCACCTTCATGACCATGAACACGACTTGTGTAGTGAGAAGCTCTAAACACCAAGCAGTGGCTGATAGAGGCCAAATGGGAAAGAGAACAAGAGGGTGACCTGGGCCAGTTCATACAAGCCTGTGCTAACATCTGGGCAAGAAGACCCTGAACCAGCCATGCCCACTGCCAGGCATGCCAGGCCCCCCATCCACCAGCTGGTTTGACTTATCCAGTTGCACTGTGTCTAGAACTATTTTAAGAGGAGAGGGCCACAGCCTCACAGGTGAAGGAAGCTGGACCTCAGAGTCAGACCTGGTTCTGCCCTTTCTTAGTTGGAGAGCAAGTGTATCACCTCCTTGAGCTTGTTTCTTCACCTGTAACATGGAGGCACTATTACTTACTGCAATAGGGTTAGAGGCGATGGCTCAGAGGGTTGAGACACAGTGCCGGGAACGAGGAACACATACTTCCTTACATGGCCAAGAACATAGGTTGGGGAGCTGGCCAGGGCAGGTGAAGCACACATTCAAAGCCCCAGCAATGTTGAACATTAAAACACTTCTTTTTGTATTTGGGGGAGGTTAGTTATATATTTACATATATATATGTATATGTATATATATATATACACACACATATATAACATTTTAATTGAAGATGTAGTCATAGGAGAAATCAGAATTTGTGGACTTCATTGCATGCATTGCACAATTCAGTGTTTTGTTTCGAATTATACCCAGTATGGATTGTCTTTTCAGTGCTTAGGTCTCCAAAGATATTATCAGGCCCTGAGGAGGGCAGAAATGGGGTGCAGATGCTTGTTGAGGGCCAATTGGTGGCTGGGGAAGGGAAGGAGTATAGAGTGAGGGAGATGATCTATGCTACTGAGGCACAGCTCAGGGGAAAGTCTCTTGAAAGGAAGGAGATTCAGCTGGAAGATTTTCTCCTGGAGACAGGAGGCCAGGGAGAGCATGGTGGGGTGACCTGGGGATGTTGATAGCAAAGACTTAGAACCAGAGGTGTTGAAAGTTGCAGGACCCTGAGAAATCACTGAATTCAACTTTCCATTTTATAGGTGGAAAGACAGAGCCAAGGGACATAGGTAGGTGGAAAGGCCGGTCTTTGAGCAGCCTTGGGAAAGACAGAGATCTGCCCAGGGTCATTCATGGAATTATGGGGAGATAAGGATCAATTCCAGTCTCTGCTTAAGCTGGAGCCCCTGAGGCTAGGAGATTCCAAGGGACCCTGTTTCCCAGACCCCCCACAGTGGCCACCAGCTCCTCTTAGCATCATGCCCTGCTCCAAGTATTCCCTAAGTCCCTGGGCACCTACCCAGAGTGAGGATTCAGAGACCCTGGGACACTGTCCTGCCTCAAGGCCCACTGGCTAGGGAAGAAGCCAGGCAGGCACATAAAGGGTATGTAATGACCCTGTTGATCTCTGTGCCAAGGATCCAAAAAGAGCCACTGATGGATGGCTCTCTCTCCAGAGAAGGCAGGCTGATGTTGGCCCCAGAATTTGATAGGGATGGGCAGGGAGAATGCACCTCCTGCAGGGAACAGCAGGGTGTGAGTGGAGGAGAGCAGTTGGGGCTTCTGGGAACATGAGGTAACTGTTTGGCAGGGACAAAGGGTGCCCAGCCAAGGGACATAGGTGGGTGGAAGGGCCAGTCTGTGAGCAGCCTTGGGTAACAATTTCAGCTGGGCCAGGGGCTCTCCAGGCACTGCCATTTGATTGTAGGAGCTGTGTGACTCCATCATGGAAGAAAGCACTGTGTGGGAACCTATTCCAAGCCTCCAGCCCCCAGCCGTCCATGTTGTTAATATGAACACATGTAGGAGACACCCTTGTCAAAGCCAAAAGGGGTTAGCATTTGCCTCCAGCCTTCCCCTGCTCCCCCATCAGGGGTAGCCCTAGGTGAGAAGTCTGGAATTCTTTTAGACCAGGTTTGTTGCTGCTCCTCTGCAGGTACTTGGGTGTTTTTCCCCACCTGTGAACTCCGGTGCCCCATTGACGTGGGGCAAGAACCCCACCTCTAAGGATTGTTAAATGTGTCGAGGTGTGAATGCCTCAGACCAAACATCCTGGTTTGTGTCCTCAGGGTGAGAGGAGGGACTTCAGAAACAGGAATATAAGCTGGACCTCAGGGTCAGTGAGAAGAGGGTGCCCAGAACTCCTTAGCAGATGGCCTGCCTGGGGGATATCCAGGGAAGGGTGACCAAGGCTCCACCTTGCCAGCCATCACCCATCACCACTGGTACTGACCCTGCTTGGCCTTGGAGGACTCACATTCATGTAACCCTCTGGAGCTCTGTGCAGGTGTAGCGATGACCATAATGGCAACTGGAGGTCCTAAGACCTGCAGTGGGCCAGGCCACACAAGACTTCTAGAGGTGGGTGCTTCCAGCTGTATGGATGACTGAGAGGGGGTGAATGTGAGCCGGGAGATCAGAGAGGTCGAGGGTCGTAGTTAGGTGAGGGGCTTCCCTGGAGGGCGCCCCTGGAAGCCGGAACCCCAGGCACTGAATTGTTTTCTGGCTCAGGTTCGCATGACTGATCATCGAATCCTGAGACCCCTTTTGGGCGAAGGAGGGGTGGTTCCGCCAAGACGCTAAATGGTCACAGCAGAAGGAAAGGGGTTTGGGACGACAGGGACCTTCTCCACTTCTAGACTTTAGACTTTAAGGAGCTGCGGAGCCCGAGCGCGTCTGCATAGGGTTTTATATTAATTGAAGCCCCGCCCCGTCCGCTCCCGGGCGCGGGTGCCGCGCGGCCCCGCCCCCTTGAGCGACCTACCGGGACCCAGGGGCTGGGCGATGCTAATGAGGTCCCGCCAGCTACCGGAGCCACGCCGGCCGCTCCACCGAGCCCGGGCGAGGCGGCAGCAGCTATGGCCGTGGCAGGGGCGCTGGCAGGTCTGGCTGCGGGTTTGCAGGGCCCGCGAGTCGTCCCCAGCCCGGACTCGGACTCAGACACAGACTCGGAGGACCCGAGTACGCGCCGCAGCGCCGGTGGGCTGCTCCGCTCGCAGGTCATCCACAGCGGTCACTTCATGGTGTCGTCGCCGCACAGCGACTCGCTGACCCGGCGGCGCGACCAGGAGGGGCCCGTGGGGCTCGCCGACTTCGGGCCGCGCAGCATCGACCCCACACTCACCCGCCTCTTCGAGTGCATGAGCCTGGCCTACAGGTGAGGGCGGCTCCGGCCCGACGGCCTCGGCCCTCCTTGGCGGGACCGCGCCCAGGCCCCGGACACCCCACCCGGCCCCGAGCCTTGGTCCCCGACTGCTCTCGGAGACTCAGGCCACATCCTGGACACCCTCTCCCCCCGCTCCGAGCGTCCTCTGACCTTGGCCCAGCCTACTGATCCCCAGCGGGCCTGTGCACCTCCTGGTTCCCATCTTCACGACCGTCACTCTTCCCAGGGCGCAGCCCGCCTGCCCTCCACCTGCGCCTCCCGAGGCCCGCCGCGGGCCCCCTCCCCATCCCCACGCTTCTGCCCCCAAAGAAATGCCAGAGAATCCCCCGCGCTCCCAGGACCCTGGGCCATCCTGCCACCCGCACCTGGGGCCACTCCGCCCGACCACCTGCAGCTTTCCGCTAGCTCCCCAGCAG